CATTTTTTTACTCAGATGCTAGATCATTTACTGCAAGTTGATGGTATGTATCTGTGATTCGTTTATCATCTTTCACTTCATTTTTGTGCTCCTTTAAATGTGCCTGTGGTCACTATATAGGGGTGACTGTTACGTACCAATATTGGATTTGTCTTTTCTAAGAATCCCCCCAAACTCCAAAGTGCAAATTGCAGCTGATGGCAGTTTACATTTCAAGATACTGCTGTAATGGCATTTGCTCATGATTCTTTACATTCTTTTACGAACTTGGATTTCTTTGCTTCGGTTGGTCTCCTAATTAACTATTCACGTTTACCAGCCTTATGCATATTTAGCTTTTCTCGCCTGTTCCCATATTCCACAACTCGTGACTTGCTTACTTTGGCTTATTTCACTTTACATTTAGCATTTTGGTGTATTTTTCGCCTTCCACTTGTTGTCATCATCTGTCTTGTTCGAAAGTAATGTTTTTGCAATGTTGCTGGTTCTCGTTTTCCGTTTCCCTTTTGTGATCTTTAATGCTTCTCAATATCCACTGCTAGTGATTGACAGTGCGGAGGGAGCACACATACGCACATATGAGGCTTTATCTGACATGTTTGAAATCTGTGGTTTTTGTTGCGTTGTCAAAGGTTTGTACGCAGCTACTAATCCAAGTGTCCTCAAATGTGTTGTTCTCGCGTGTGCTTGTATGCATGTTTACGCGACTCGCGTCGATGATATATACTACTGCAGAATTCTAGTAGAGGGCATTGTTTCTCGTAGGAAAATAGTGTTCTCCGAAACGAGCAGACGCAGTTGGCCGCAAAGAATGACTGTTTGGTGGAGCAGGTAATCGTGCTTCAGAAGATGTTGGAAGACATGGGTGTCTCCGTGGATGATGCGAGTGCGTACCCTTTGGATGAACCGGAAACGCCGGGTGATGATGTGGATGGAGGTGATGATGGCACTTCATGTAATGGCAATCCCGGTACTCCTGCCTCTTACCGCAAACCGCCACTTCACTGTGATAGGAACCTTGATTTTCTGTAAAGGTGAAACTCTGTGCATGTGGTGCTCTACTAATCGCCTGCTAGGCGCTTTACGTGAAGCCTTCATTCGTTTTGTAGGTAACTGCGGAAAGCCATCCAATTCCACTCGCCAGTTAGCTCACTTTCGCATAACTCCATGATGCATTCCAACCCCGTATTCTCTTCTACTTCGGTGACACCTGTGCATGATTGAAACCGTTGTTCGCATATCATTTTATCAATTGCTATTTGATTATCATGAATAAATTTGTTATTTTCATGTTCATTAGCTAACGTTCTAGATTCGATTATTCCAGAACATCAACATTGCGAAGCCAGCTCGGCTTTTATCCACCCATTCAAAGCGACGCAGCCTATTTTTTCGCGCTTAACTCTTCCGGAAGATTGCATACAGTCTTTGGGATTGCCTTGATGCTCCGGACGCATTCACATCTCTCTTGTCCCCGTTTTGACTAGCCTCTCTCCCGTTGATATGCTCCACTTTCCACCCTACCACTTGGGTCGGTACTTTGCAGGAGCCGCGCTCCACATGCTCAACTCATTGTCGAAGAAGTTGATGTAGAGCTGTACAGTCACTTGCTTGTGAGGACCTGACTACCTCGTTTCCCTCTCCTCGCTTTTTTCACACGGTTTCGCCACTAGGCGT